AACAGGCTTTTCCAGCCACAGAAATGTGGTGGCCTGAGCCAACGAGGATCAATTCGAACCTGCCGAGGAAGAGCGCCTGCAGTGGTTTAGAATCGTGAAGCTGTCGTCCAGGCCTGCAGGTAGTGATGGCATCGCAGAGTCACGCCGTTGATGCTGATGATCGTTGAGATGCATCGGGCCCATCAGCTCGGTTTTCTGTCAGCTGCGCATGGTTGCTTCTGCTTGTGCACTTAACCTGGGACATGCTGTATCTACATGGAGTCGGGATGAATGCAGCAGCTACTTCCTGTGTCGAGCTGCCAGTGTTCTATTCATTGGCCTCCTGCAAGTTGCCGCTTCTCCGTGTTGGTCGTTACTCTGTAGAAATGCAACTGTGCCACGATGCTTTGTCATCGAGCCGCAGCATACCGTCTGACCTATGCCTGATGCTAAGCTCCACAATGCTCTGCTTCCTGTGTTTAGGATATAATGTGGCGCAGCGCGAAAGTTAGCAATGAGGTGTTGTGATCCGAAACCTGCGTTTGGAGAGTGGGCTTCAGTCTTTCCAACATGAGGTCGTGTGCGCTTCTGGTCCTGCGACGAGGCCTGACGCGCCATGTTGAAAAGATAAAGATTTGGACAACGTCCCGCTCAAAATGAACCTGTTCCAGGCAAGTGCGGTGGCGACAGTGGCTGTTCCCGCAAGCTACAAAGGCAATGTCGGGATGCCGGATGCCGAGTGTCGCTCGTCTCCCATGACCATGACGAGGGCTGGCGGCCTGAACGGTTTGAACATGAAGGCCAAGCACTCCAGTTCGCAAGACAGTCCCGGCCCTAGCTCCTTACACCTTTGTCATTTCCGGTAGGTCATGTGACCATTAGGTCAAAGCGCATTCCCATCTGGAAGCTGGGATGGGCCATGGCCTATCAGCGCGTTTCTTGTGACAGACAAGTCAACGAAGAGCAGGTGCATGCATGTTTGACCGCATAATGTCTCGGCTTCCAGGGTGATCTAGTTTGTGTGTCACCCCTTCAGTCTGAAATGAAGCCATTTACGTGCTAGCTGCTAGCCGGCCGAAGAAGGCTGTGACTGATTTTGCCATTTTGACAGCTTTCGCCCTCGATGGTTCGGTTTACGTTCTCCAGGAATGGCAGCCCGGACCGACCCGTTCCTCACGGATGTCGAGGCCACATCCATTGTTTTGAGCATGCGCTGCCCACGTTGACCCCGTCTGATGTTTTCTGCAACAGCGAAACTTGTAGCACTTGATGTGACCTTACCTTTCTGGTTGTTGCAATGACTATGATCTCGAGCCTTATCGAAAAATCGAAAGGTCCTACTGTGTGTACCCATGCAGCTTTGGTGCCTCCACCAGCCGTTCCAACCAGGTTCCGGATTACAAGGCCACGGCATCGCAAGTCGAAGCAGCCCGTCGCGAGCACATGGCAGATGGCTTAGCATTTGCAGAGAGGTGCAACGGGAGGGAGCAGAAATCAAGACATGGCACTGCTCCTCAGGTGAGCCAAGAGGTTGCCGTGCTTATCTTTGTGCCATGGTCATGCTATGCCTGAACCTTGGTATGAAATGCTTCAGTGCCAGTGCTGTTTGGATGTAGCTGGCAGCCTGCTAAATGATACACAGAGGTTTTCATGGTGCTCGCCTTCGCCTTGCCCCCGTCAGGCCGTTGTCTTAGGGCTGAATCATTGGCACTGAACGTTGACATGTTCACGCTACTGCAAGATCGTCCACCGTCGCCGGATTCGAAGATGATAAGACGAAGAAAATCACGAGATGTAGACTAGAAGGCACGACAGGCCGAGGGGGACCCAGTCTTGGGTCGTCGGCACCCGGAGCGGCACGCCAATTGGGAGCAAGTGCAGTGACCGCAAGCGAAGCGAAGTAATGTCCAGACTGGACCCCAAAACTTCAACTGGCTATCAGCCCACAATTTCAGTCAGCAGAGCCAGAACAGCTCCAAGATTGGCAACAAGAAAAGCTCAAGCAGAAAGCCAAACCACGACTTCCCTCAGTCCTGCAAGTATACAGAAAAGGAAAGGCAGCCCGGCATTCAGGGCTGCGTTGTGCTGCATATGGTCAATCAGGCAAACCTGTCCAGGGTCAGACGCATCTCGAACTCTTTCAAGCACGCGTGCGTAAATCTTGGAAGAGCATGCTCGGTCTGATGTTGACGGGGTAGTGGTTGACGATGTTGACAGACATCCTGAAAGCAGAGGCATTTCTAAGTCTGCTGCTGTCACCCATAGAAATAGTGCAGCCAACTGATTATCAACAATGCATTGGCAGGATTCCTGTGGAGCCTGTTGGCTGGGGTATCCTGGCTTGCCAGCCTGCTGGTGGCACGTGCGGTGCTTGGAATGCCAGTGCGTTCCGTGCAGGGATGCCAGACGTGTCAGGATACTGCAGAAAACACCGTAAGCTGCGACCGAGTTAGAAAAGCATGTTTGACACTGTTGCGCGTAACGCATGGTAGCATCTCAGGCCAAGCCTACGAGAGACATCTCCGAGGAGCCAGCCCAGTTTACAAGCTGCTGGCCCTGATGGTGCCTTTGGAAACCCCATTACAGCAGATTCGGGCGTACTCTTCCATACAAGGTAGCAACCTGTGTGTTGATCCCAGGTGCTGTTGAGCTGCGTGGCAGGGCCACTGGTTGGAGCTCACATCGAACAGAGGAAGATGGCCAGCTATTGGATGCACAAAACAGGCGCAACTTACCGCGATGTGGCCAGGAGCTTAGACGGTTTTAGATGTCTTCGGCTCTGGCAGCAGCCTTGTGCAAGTCCAGGTTCCGACCAAGCCGTCCGATGCGTACCAGGATGCAAGCATTCTGGACTTCTCGGCCTCGAGATCGCAGCAAGTGCGTGCGCATGTTTACACCCTCTTGTAATGGCAGCAAGATGCCGGCTCGATGCCCTCCGACCAAGGCCAGCGCACGCTTGGACCTTCAGAGAACTCTCGGGATCCGCTCTCCGGGCTCCGGCATGACTTATTGCGTCGCGCCAGTGATTGCCGCTTGTCACACGTAATGGCTGGATGTGTCAACTGGTGTCGATGTTCAGTTTTGATTGTCTCTCTTCTTCGTCAGGATACCTCATCATCAACAAAACAGGTGAACTATTTCGCAGCCGACGTGAATTGCTGTGAGCCACGTCGCAGTTTCCTTTGCGGTGATACCGCGAAGGCGGATGCCAGGACCATGCGAATGTCCATGCCTTCACGATTTGTCTCAAGCTTGACATCGGGCGAGGACTGGGGTGGTTCTGCCCGCGAAGTCTTCTCAGCATGCTGCAGACAGGCGGTGTCGGGAGGGGGAGGGCGGAACGGCGAGTCTTCTCGTGCGATGGCTGGTGTGGAAGGTGGCAGCACTTCTTCAAGGCCGCTCAGCAGGCTGCGGAGGCGGGTCCCTTGCTTCTGCTAGTCCTCAGCAGGAATGTAGGACAGATTCGCAGCAAGATAGGGTGAGGTCTATGGCTGGGATCTGCCTGATCGACCTATATTCGTGCGTTGGTTTGAAGATGCCGAGGGTGCGGGGATCTCAGGCTGAAGTGAGGAGAAGTTGGTGAAACAGATTTTGGAAGTCTTAAAGCCCAGCTAAGGTTCAGTCAGAGCTTCTACACCAGGGTTTGGTGGAGGCCAGACCTGCAGCTAGTGTCCAAAAGAAGCTCCTCGTAAGCCCATGAGCCCTGGGCAGACCTTCGTCCAGTGCTTTGCGGGACTGTGCGCCGCGGTGATTGTGGCCATGCTGCTCGTCACCAGAACTCTTCATCTCGCCTTTGGCGCTGCACATTCCATGGTAGCCTACTGGTGCACGTTCTGCCTCGTCAAGGTGGCTGCACTGGTCCTTGTCCTACTATGTGCAGGACAAGAGAGCTGATCGCAGCAAGATGAAACGTTGAGACTGTCCAGTGGCAATTGCTGCATGTGACGGTTAATATACTCGCAGCTGGAGCAAGCGCGAGTTTTCCGCATTGTGTGGCCGGGCCTGATCCGACGCCGTCGTGGCGGAAAATTGTTTCGCAAGGTTGGTGTTGGTGGATGCACTGACATCGGCTCTCTCTTGCCTTGGAGCTTTTGAGGCCACATCCATCTCAAGGAGCTACTTGGAGAAGGCGAGAGACAGAAGGGACGATCGAAAGGGACGATCGAAAGGCGGGAAGAGCTGAGGTGGAGCAGGGTGAAGCCAGGCTCCTGCCCGAGTGCCGTGAGGAGTCACCGAGTGTTTGCAGGTGAGTCAAAATCAGAAGATGCTGCCAGCGTTTCTCCTAATTGAAGGAGCTGGAGCGTGTGCTTGGGGTGCCGCTGAAGCGGCGGCGCAAATCACGATTAGCCACTTGGATGTCAGAGCTTCGGGGCAAAGGGGCCTGTGACAGCTCAGGTTCTGTCGCGGACTATTAAATATCCACAAAGCAGTCCGCGAGAGTTTCAACCGTCACGTGCGCAAGTGCCCATAGTCGTAACTGAGGACAGAACGCCTTGACAACCGCGTGGAGCCACGCCAAGAAGCGTCGTCTCGTCGACAAAGAAGCCACGTGTGCAACAGCACTTAGGCTTGCTCTGCATGCCGGGTGGCACGTGTACGAAGGCATCGTATTTCCTTGCACCCCGATCCTGTCTCCCGCTGCTTTGCTGTTTCAAGCTGCGGGGCGCAGTGGTTCCCATCGCAGCTGCGTGGTCCTCGAGGGCTCAGGCCGAATTGTGCATCAAGCGGTGTGAGACGTGATCACGTCTGAGGCTCTATGTGCGCCTGAGAAGCGGAAGCCCCAAAGCTTCTCGCGCAACCTTCGCTTAAAGTAGCAGCTAGGAAAGCCGGTGTGGTGTCAGGCTGGTGAGCATCCTCAAATCAACTCGGAAGGAACCTCATCAGCTACACTACCCGGCAGGGAGTAGTTCGCACCGTTGTCAGATCCCTTGGCGGTGCTGATCGGCTCTGTAAAGTCCACGACTACATTCTTGTCGGGGGATCTGACGACTCTGCTCTGACAGACTGAATAAGAGCAGAAGATGTACCGCCGCCGTGTTTTGGGAGCTACACTCAGCGAGGTGGGCTTGTGTGCACCAACGAATGTTTACAAGCAGAGCAGCAGAGTTGATTTTGAGAGCAGGCGGGGTGCCAAGAGCCCCACAGCTCGCACAGCTCGCAATCTCGCGATGGATATGAGGAGTCGGAGAAGAAGGCCTGCCCCCGACGGCTTCCGTGTGCATGCGCATGCATGCGCGTGGTTCGAAGTAAGGCCTTTTATGATGGTTGCCCGACCAATGCGCAGGGCGCCGGAGGAGGCTTTCAGGGATTTTTGGCTGATTTTGCTGCATATCTGGTGCTGGGACGATTCGTGTAGGATCCCCGAGCAGCACTTGGAGCCGATGCTCGAGGGCGTCCTGGAGCTTCGGGCCACTCGGCTTCCCTTCGAAACTGCCCGCTTCCTGTCGCATCCCGTTCCCGCTTTCTCTCTGAGGTGCGGCACGGACCGCTGCACTCAGCCAGGCAGCCACATGCAGAGCAGAGCTTGAAAGTTCTTGGCATGACATGGGCCTCCCATGCAGGAGCGGCAAAGACACAGCGAAAGCAAGCGCGAAGGATACCCTGCAGCTTAAGGGAATCAGCTAGCGTAAGGGGCTGACCTGACCACACAGTGAGCTGCTCGCAAAACAAGCAATGTAGGCGCATCGGAGGGTCTGCTTCAGGATCTTGAGGTCGAAGTCACGCTATGCAGGATGCTACATCGCTTGCACCGCTGCATGGCCCGATCTGGTCCCAAGCTGAGAGAATACCCATCTGATGCATGTGGGTGCTGATCTTGTCCCGTGCAAAATCACATGGGCTCAAAATCTCTACTTGTCTAAGGTGTGGTGGCATTCTCCTTTTCGGCATCGGCTCTTCAGAGAAGGATGGATTCTTTCGCAAAGTTGGACGAGGCACAGAAACCACGTGAGCTGTTGCCTGCAGAGAATCCTGACATGGCTGCAGGTTTCCAAGTTCAAGAGTCGTCGTGCTGCAGAACGATCGTTGGGAGCAGGCAGCAGGGACAAAAGCACACTTCCCGCAGTCTACTGCTGTATGCAGTGCTCACCAGTTGCCTCAAGACAGAGGCTTGGGGCTTCAGTTGTCGGTGTATGGTGCTGTCGCAACATCTGTGTCAGGCAGCTCTCTGTCTTCAGCATGCAGGCACGTTGAAATGTTCCGTGCGGTCAGTTGATCACGGTCGCATCGCAGTATGGCGCTCGTAGACAACTGTTGACTGGTGGGAAACTTGCAGGTACGTGTCCTGCTGCATTCGCTCTCTGCTCAGAACTCGAATGAGCGGAGGGCGGAGGGAGGGGCCACTAATGCTAAAGGCTCAAGATGAGATGCTCTCGGGCATTCTGTCTGGCCAGGGAAAGTTTGGGCGCATGGCCTGGGGTTTCTAGTTCTGGAAGCCTGCGGCAACATTCAATAAATTCAATACCTGCCAGAATTGGAGGCCAAGGAATTTTTGAATCATGCGGTGCAAGTCGCATCTGTCAAGAGGCTCGCACCTGGTGCACCTGGCAGCTCTCCTGTCAGTCCTCATGCAGACGGTCCAGGAGGCTTCTTGCAACGGTGGGTCTTGCTGTGTATCGCGCGATTGCCCGTAGGAACAAGTTTCAGCGGGTGACCGAGCAGCAGCAGCTTTTTGGCTCGACCGCATTTTCGACTTTTGGTCTTTCCCCTCTCGCCCTCCTCACATGGCCGACAACTGGGCTGATTTCGGCCTCACCTTTGGTGGTGAGCCTTCTTCATCGCCGTCGCCTTCGGCTTGCTGCGGCTAGTGGCAGTTGGGAAGTACCACCCGCCCCTACGTCTGGGGACGACCCCTTCAATCGCCTTGTCGGAGGGGGTGACTGGGGAGGATTCGCCTCGGAAAAGTTGTTTGAGCAGGCGCTTGCGGAGGATCCGGATGCGGGCAGGGGCGGTGCTTCTTTGTCCTGACCCTAAGCATCCGAAGACCTCAAATGTGACCATGTTTGCTAAGACCTCAGAATCCAAGGCCTTTAGTGTAAGTGCTGGAAATACAAGGACTTGGACAATCATGTAAGTTGAATGAAATGCATGTCAATATATATGATGTATAAAATGTATTCAATCCAGGAAATGCATGTCATTCCCTGTATTTCTCAATATTCATATGTTGATATACAGGTCAAACAATCAGTATATATGGTCCAAAAAATGTGTTAATAGGTTTGTTTGTTCTTTCCGAAATGCTTTAAAAAATATTCATATCCGATGCAGATTCGCTGAAAAGATCAGAAAGATCAGTAAATAAGTATGTAAAATGAATCAGTCGTAGAATACGTTTGCAAGTTCTTTCCCAAATGCTTTGAAGATTATTCATATCCGATGCAGATTCGCTGAAAGGATCAGAAAAATCAATCAATAAGTATGTAAAAAAATCAGTCCTAGAATAAGTTTCAAGGTTATTTCCCAAATGCTTTGGAAATTATTCATATCCGAAGCAATATATATATATATATATATATAAACGTCCAGCATTCTTTCGAACTTCTTTTCCTGGCTTTGCAAACCCGAAGGTAGGCCTTAGGCCGTGGGCACGGGTTTTATTCCCGGTGGGTGCCCCACAAATTCTGGTGAAGAAGACTTTGGCCAGCTCAAACCTCCACCTCAGGGAGAGTACAGTGTTCAGGTTCAGGGCTCAGGGTTTAGGACTGAAGGGTTCAGGCCATATATATATATATATATATATATATATATATTTATTTAGAGAGAGAGAGAGAGAGCTGTAGGGTTGCCGGGCCTGGGTCTGGTTCACGAGTGGCATGTCTTGGATGAGCCGATCCAGTTGAGACATGCTGGGCTCCTCCATTCTCTTGATGTCGTCATCTTGGATAAGGCTCCGAGGGAAATATATGTATATATCTATATATACATAAATTAATTCAGCTAAAGGCGAAAGCTCCTGCTATGTATATATATAGATAGGCTTCACAAGAACCATTATTATTATAATTATAATCAGTTCATATGGCATATGTATTTACATATTTATATATCTGTCTGTTTCTTATATATTTATTATATATATATATATATGCAGCCTAGCGACAGAGGTATGGGACCAAATTCCCGAAGCACAACAGCAGCTCGTCGAGGGCCATGACGATGTCGCATAGCTTGTGCTCCAGTGCATAACCCATAGCGGATTCGATGAAGCGGTCGCATGTCCTCAGATGCCGAGAAACAAAAATCTTGTCATCTTAAGCTCCACCCGCAAGAAATACAAAACGGAGAATATGTCAGAAAGTTGAATAGTTATTGATAAAGGTTTGATTTCACGTGACAAGGTCACAAACAACATATATATATATATATATATATTATGTATAATATTATGTATAATTAATAATAATAATACTATATATATATATGTATAAATATAAATATATATATTTATTTATTTATATTTATTTATTTATATATTCTATATATATATATATATATATATATTGATATTAATGTATATAAAAAGAATCATATATTATACTCATATATCTATATATATTATATGAGTGCTTGGCCAGATTCTCTGGGTTCGACATGCCCGTGAGGGCTACCACCGTTGGGCAAGTCACTCTCGTCAGGAAGCGATTCACCCACTTGCCGTGAGGCGTATAGTTGCCCATGGCAAGCCAATGCAACCGGTCCTTCTCTGCAATTGGCAGTCCGTGTACCAACACTGTCATCCTGTCCCAGCCATGCCGTTCCAGGTCGTTGACCGCCTTTGCAGCTCTCGATCCCCAGCCGAGCAGCTCCATCTTCACCATCCATGTTGGCCCTGCCATGCCGAGAGGTAAGAGTGGGAAAAACCTCAAGGCACCAAAATTTAATTAACTGCTTGAGCATCATATATTTGCATGTAAGCAGGCATGTGACACTTCAGTCCTGCTGCAGCCCCCCGTGAGTGAACTGACTGCATCCGAGGGGTTTGGGGTTTAGGCTTTAGGATTCACGGGCAGGGGTTTAAGGTTTAGGGTTCAGGGCTTCAGGGTTTCGGGTTCAGGGGTTTGGGGTTTTGGGTTTAGGGTTTACATCTATATATATATATATATATATAGATACATATATGTATATACATATACATATATATATATATTTCAGGAAGTCTCGGATGCAGGAGAACTGTTTTCACGAGCTCGCTATCTGCTCCGGAGCTCTCGTTCATGCACGTGCAAGCATGGCCCGCCAGTGCCGTCAGTGACCTTGCATCAAAGCCTGCAGTCGCAGCAACTGCTTGGAGAGGATCTGATTCTCGACCGTGCTTCGATGCGAGGATTTGGCAATATCCACAGCCACTCCAAGAGCCCCCTCTTCAGCATACGTATGGAAAAACCTGAAGTTATAACCTCAGCTGCATATTAGCTGGACTGAAAATACATATAACAAACTCATATATATATATATATGGTAGTCGCTGGAATATATATATATATATATATGTATATGTATCTACCAGCTACAAGATATGTTATCACTTATAAACAGTCGCACCATGAAAGGAATTGTCCTTGAGTAATATATATATATATATATATCATCCTCGTAGCGGGTCTCGGCAAGCTCCATGACCATGTGCTGCAGCATGTGGTGCTTCGGTCTCAGGCTCCACATAAACCTTGGGCAGGGTAGAAGTACTGAAATTTTTAAATAGATGGATACCGCCAGCTTCAAAAATGTGGGGAGAGAGACAGAGAGAAAGAGAGAGATAAATATATAAAAAGACACAGACCCAAAACTCTTTTCACATAGAATTAGACAGAATATTAATCAGCTGATACAGGTGCGGGTTGGTGGAGGTGGCTGCACAGTGCATATAGGTCTCCAGGAATCGAAGGCCCAGGCTGCGGATTTCCACGGCTTCCTCGGCATCGATGGGGATTCATATATTATGTGTCATGCACTTAATATATATATATATATATATTTGTTAAGATGCAGCTTTATTGTATATTAACACATATATATATGTATACATATGTTATACATTACATACTATTTAGCATATGTACTTTATTATATATTATTACTATTTCAGAATTATTATTACCATTATTATCATATAATTATTATATCATTATCACTATCATATATATATATGCATATATCTATAAAGGTATAGTTTAAATAATATATAGATATATGTATATATATATATATATATGTAATATATCTTTTATACTATATATAACGAGTATACATATATATATATATATATATATATATATCATATTCCAAAGTTTGACAGAGAAGCCTCCTCCGTCAAGAACCTGTTGCCTTGCTCCACACGGTTGTACAGCTCCGACAGGAGATGCACACAGAGACTCGCTCTCAGGAGCTCCAGATCAGCTGGTGCTTTCTTGCTTTCCTCTGAGAGGATAGCAGCCAGAAACGACGTGATGATTCTGCTGTGGTGGGCCTTGGACTGGTAAAATATCTGCTCCAGGTCGGATTTCAAGAGAAAGTGTCTGAATCGCGGCATAGCAACCCTGACCTTCACTTGCTTTTGCCAGCCTTTGAACCTAAGGAATAATGCCCGGAGAGCCTGATCTTTGGTCAGGCCGGCACCACACACTTCCCGGTCCAGCAAGACTTTCATTGCCGAACCATTAGCAAAAAGACCAACTCCAAGATGGGCCGTGTGCATCCAGCACTGCTTAAGAATGTGCATGCTAAAACCTGGCATCCAGATAAGCGGCGAACTTTCCGGGGAGTCCAGCACCGGAAGCACATTGGCCAGAAAGTCCACATTGCTCCGCCTGGTTCGCATCCAGGCAGCGGAAAGGCCAAATTGTCCGTAACTCATCGGGCCACTTGCCAGGGTGCACTTGCACTTGTAGCACACTTCCTTGCTCGTCGGTGTTGCTTTCAGACCCAGGCAATCAACGAAAAACTTCCAGTCGCCTCGGAGTTCTGTCACCATAGGACTGCCTTGCATGCGAACAAGTTTCTGCAGGCTCTCCACCACGAACCTCCACAGCGGCTGCTCGGTGGATCGGCCAGCACTGAACCGATCGTGCAAGAAAAACAGAGGGAACCTCGAGTAGGCAAGACCATTGTGCTCGGACATCACGAATCCCATGAAAGCTCCAAGAAGATGATCGCCGTATTTAGTAAACTGGGCAGAGACCCCATACAAAAACAACGGCTCGCTCTCCACAGCTTTTCCAGGATGTGGTGTGTCCAATTTGGCCCAGTATCGCTTGGTGGAATCTGCTTTGGGGGCTAGCCCTTGCTCGTGGAGC